CGCCCTGGAGGAACACCTGAGGAAGACGCCCGTGCTCGTCGATGCCCTCCTCGCCGGCCAGCCCTACAGCCGGGAGTACCGCGACCTCTACCGCACCATGATGGGGGCGGCCGCGGTCACTCAGGTGTCCAGCGCTGGACTCACCCCGCCCAGCAGCAGTGGTGGTCTGTCCATCCCAACCCCGTCACCTTCACCTCGCGACTCGCAAGCCTCCCCAGACGGCGCCCGTAAATCGCACACGCCGTCTTCGGTCCACAGCGGAGACTCGGTTCGTTTGTCGGACAGGGATGGAGCGGAGAAGAAAAGGCTGTGTCTGGAGAAGGATGGGAAGTTTGCCGCTAACCTCATCCGGAGAATGGAGACGAAACTCGACGCGGACGACAAGAGAGATTCCCCTGTCGCCGGAAAGAGTAAGTCGACAAACGTCAGGAAAGAGGATAGACTGAACGAGTCGAGCCTAAATCCTGACATAAAGGAAGAAATTTTATCCGAGGAAGAAGACGCAGACTCTTCCAGGAGTGTGAAGAAAGACTGTCGCCTGAAGGATGTGAAGGAGGAGAGTGAGAAGCAGCGGAAAGATGGCGGAGAGGTGGAGGGTGAAGAAGGAGAAGAAGAAGAGGAAGATGACATCTCGGATCGCATCGTGGGCATGGTGAAGCTGGAGATGTGCGGGGGCGGTGAGAGTCAGAGCTGCCGCTACTGCCACAGCGAGTTCTCCAGCCCCGTGGACCTGCACCAGCATGAGAGGTACTTGTGCGAGCGAAACCACGACATCAGGCGAGTCATCACGGGCAGCAAGACTGCTGCTGCCACCTCCTCCCCCATCACCGAGGAACGGCCGTCGTCTCAGAAAGAGGCTTCCAGCTCGGAGAAAGATGACGATGACGAAGAAGTGGAAGTGAAGGACGAGGTAGAAGGGCCGTCGCTCAAGAAAGATAAAAACGAAGATCTGGTTGATGATGATGAGGATGAAGACGATGATGATGACGTTGACGATGATGACGAAGAAGAAGAAGTGGAGGCAGCAGAGGTGAAGTGCAAGAAAGAAAAAGTAGAAGCGGAAGAAGAAGAAGAGAAGAAGAAGAGGAATAAGGAGGAGGAGATGGTGGCGGAGAAGAAGGCGGTGCTTACGGATAGCCAGAGCCACCACCTGCGCGCCTGTTTCCGTGACAACAAGCAGCCGGACGCCCAGGCTGTCGGCGAGATCGCCAAGATCATCGGACTTTCCAGGAAAGTTGTACAGGTGAGCAACCCGCACATGGTAATGATGATGATTATGATAATAGTGATCATTATAATAATGGTGATATTAAAAATAACGATAATAATTATTATTATTGTTATAATAACTAATAATAATGATGATAATAATTATAATCCATATTATAGTGCTCAACCCTGATTGTAGAAAACAAATACAAGAGCAACACATGAACAGTTTTTTGTGTTTGTGTTCTGACTCTGTCTTTTTAAGCTAAAAACAGACACATAACTTGAGCTGACTTTTTGAACGAGCTAAAAAAATGTAGCCTTACACACAAACGCACTCTCACAAACAAACACACACACACACACACAC